ATCATCGGTCAATGCGACCAAAGCGGTTTCTGTGCTGTAACCAGGTCTGAAGCCGGACTGGAAGGGGTCAAGATAACTTTTTGGTAAGTTGTGCTTTTTCTTTTTGTATGAAGATAGTTGTAAAAAATGAATTAAGAAGCTCTGCTTTCCCCCTGCTGGTCATCACTTCCTTGCTATCTTTTCCCATTAGTGCACCAATTGTTTCCTTGACTTTTTTCTTAGTTTCTACATGTTGAAAAAAAAACTTTTAAATTATTTTTGACATTTGTTGCAAGTCTTAGTTCATTCTGAGCCTTAGTTTTCCTGACTTCAACTTTATAGATTTGGGCTATATGCTGGTATTCTGTCTTAGATATGTGTCCATCTTTCCACTTTTTATACTTACCATTTAGTCTTCCAGTTTATCAGAGAGTTCGTTATGCAACCATGCTGATTTCTTCTTGGAGTTCTTATTTTTCTTTTTCAGTGGTATTGTGGTGGACTGAGCTTTAATCACATTTTTCAGAGTTTCTCAAACTTACTGAGTTTTCCCCTTTAAGATTTTCATCTATGGAATCCTTCCTAAGATCTATTCAAGTTTGTTGAAATCAGCTTTTTTAATGTCTAAGACACTGCTTTGATTTTGTTCTATTGTTTGGGTTTGTATTACATTGAATTCTAACATGACATGGTCACTCTCCTCCAAAGTTCCTGCCTATTGAGAAATGGATCTATGGCAAACTAGAATGTTCTGATTTTAAGGTTTCTGAAGCTGGGAAATTTCAGCGTGCTTCCAAAATTTGACCTCTGACTGCTTCTGCACTTGGTAAACCTTGGAGAAGGGGGAGCTCCAAAGCAATGTCTACTTTTTAGTATTAAAAGGGAAATATTTTCATTTCAAAACATGTTTTCTGAAAGTACAGGGTGGTAGTATGATGTTTAAATACCTTGTGCCTTTTCAGTCCCTTTTTGCAAAAGTAATTTGATTAGAACCCTGTTTCCCTGAAAATAAGTTATATCCCAAAAATAAGCCTTAGTGTATTTTTTACTGTTTTCTTCAGACTATAAGATGCACCAGAGTATAAGACGCACCAAGGTTTTGAAGAGGCAAATTAAAAAAAAAGTTTTTGCAGTCTGCAGACCTCCCAAAACAGCCCGTTTTTCATGAAAACAGGCCTTTTTTTAAAAAAGGCCTGAATAGCCTTTAGGGGGATTGTAGAATGCTCCTGGGTGGGTGGGAATGCCCCAAAATGAGCAAAAAATGGCCTGTTTTTCGCAAAAATGGGTCCAATTTTTGTCAAAAAAAGGCATGAATAGCCTTTAGGAGGCTTATAGAGTGCTCCTGGGGGCTGGGGGGGGGGGAAATTGAGCAAAAAACTGCCTGTTTTTCGCTCATTTCTGCCCTCCCCAGTCCCCAGGAGCACTCTGAAAGCCTCCTACAGGCTCTGCATGCCATTTTGGTGAAGGGGGCGGGGTTTCAGGAGGTCAGAAATGCTGTATTCAGTGTATAAGACACACCCAGATTTTCAGCCTCTTTTTTGAGGGAAAAAGGTGCATCTTATACTCCAAAAAATCTGGTATGTGTGCGGCTAATAATAAGCCCTACCCCCCAAATAAACACTACTTAAGAGCCTGCACAGCCGGCTGGCCGCTCATTCCATCTGGTTGCTTGCAGTGCCACAGCCATGAACTGAGGTGTGTGTGTGTGTGTGTGGTGCCACCTGCACAACCTTCCCTCAACCAGGCATCCACACCCCAACACCTGCCTCATGGCTGCAGCACCAGCAGCCATGTGCAGCAGGACCTCAGCTTCACACACACACCCTTGCTTCGTGGCTGCGTCATCGGCACATCGCTTGGCCTCCTGCTCTGTTGCTTTTGTGAAGAAGCAGAAGAAATGGCCTGGCAGCCACTTGGAGTTCTGCTGGATGGGGCTGCTACCACAAGGCCAGGCAGGGGTTTCCTGGCCTGGCTGCAGGGGCCCTGAGGTAAGCCAGTGTGGGCGAGTGGAACAGCTCCATCCCCCCTGCCTCGCAGCGGCATTGGGGCACCATACAGCCTCCTGCCCCGCCACGAGCAAGCAGAAGGCCTACCGTACATGGGGGGGGGGGGGAAATAAGACACTCTCCAAAAAATAAACCCTAGTGCTTATTACACTTTACAGTATGATTTAAAGAAACAGTTACAGCATTGCTATATGATTTATATATTGCCAACCCAACCGTTGGATTATATTCCTAACAGAGAGCAAGGTAGTTTGAAGGCCCAGAACAATTCTAGATTGCTGTTCTGTCCTTTTCTACAGGAAAGCAGTGGTGTAATTGGAAAGGGCAGCCAGGCAGCTACTACAGTTAAACCTAGCTTCATTAACTTTCAGGAAAAAAAGTCGAAGTATTTACTGACAGGTCAAATGCTTGTGCTTATCCAGATCTGATCTTCATTGTGCTATATGCTCAATGTCTGCCTTCTACGTCAGACGTTTTTTTCTCATTCTGATTCCCTCCCCCCCAAAAGCTAATAATGTAGATGGGAATTTCGGATGCAGAATGGCTGAGAAGAAACCTTCCCAAGGACAATCATGGCTGCTACTACTGATCGTTGCTGTTGCCTTCATTCACTTAGTTGTGTGCCCATTTACAAAAGTGGAGGAAAGCTTTAATCTTCAAGCTATACACGACATTTTGTATGAGAAGCTGGAATTATCTAAGGTAAGTTACTTGTTACTTTCTGATTGTTCTCTTTTAAATTTAGTTTATTTTCAAAGCCAATCCCATCTTAACATTTGCAATTATACTAATACTCTATTATGCCGAACATTATTATAGCCTGTCTTATATTTTTGCATGAATATAGAGGAATAGAAACAGTAGCTAATCATTTAGCTGGATTAAAAGAAATTTGTGCCATTGTGGATTAACTGATTGAGGAATTATCCAGGATTAAGTGTTTAATTCTACTACTTTGTTCACCAACTGCATTAAAAAAACAGCTGTGTAATCTACAGGGCATGTGTAGCCTCCACTTACCCATATATACAGTCCTCAAGAGTTCCCCATGCTTTTTGATTTTTGGAGGCATCATAATTATCTTGCTCAATTTATCTCCCAATTTGCGAGTAACATGCTTTTAGGAGCCAAGGTGGCGCAGTGGTTAAATGCAGCACTGCAGGCTACTTCAGCTGACTGCAGTTCAGCAGTTCGGCTGTTCAAATCTCAC